AAAACAAAATGCATATATACAAACCTTGGGCCCTGGATGTCATTAGTATGGTATGAAGTGTGCTTACCTTTCTCTTTTCTCTTTCCTTTTTATCCTCCCCTCTGCTGTCTTTTTCTTCTCTTAGGAAATCCCAGTCAAATATCTCGAGTGCCTGTTGCTATCAAAGTTCTTGATGTAAATGACAACGCTCCTGAACTTGTGTCCGGGAATGAAGCCTATTTATGCGAAAATGGAAAAACTGGAAAAGTAAATATGCCTTGGTTATCCACCCTGTGCAGTCCCCCTCCCCTCTCTCTCAAGTCTCTTGATTGCCTGTCTGTTGATCTGATTTTGATGTGAAACTGGCCCTCTTCAAAGTTGTGCTCTATTTAGTAACAGCAAGTCCTGGCCATTTGTCTCACTCAATAGTATAGAGCAGGGGTCCCCAACCCCTTTGGCCACGGCTCACTAGTGGGCTATGAGCTGTTCAAAACCAGGCCACCCAAAGCAGCAGGCAAACACGCATGCACAAGCATCCTTCCTTGCGTGAGTGGCAGGTACGCCCATACGCCACTTGTGCAAGTGGAGCTGTATACATGCGCTTGCACACTGATTGTGCAAAACCATCCCCTTTCCTCCTTTCCCGCACCCAGTCTGCAAAGCCAGAAAATCTGGGGAACTCTGGTATAGAGAGCCAATGTGGAATATCTGTGGAGATTCTCAGTTGTCCAGGTCATGGTTGTCCCAAAAGTCCCAAAGAACTTCAGAACTGTAGAAGTTTCTTGGACGAGAAGCAAAATATATTCAAGGAGAAGCAAAGTCCAGTTGACTTTTGAAAAAGCACCTTTGAGCCAATATGGAATAGTGTTTCAAATGTTATAATCTTGGACCTGAGAGATCCAAGATTCATCCTTCAGTCAGGAAAGCTGAACAGGGTGACTTTAGTTCTCTATCCTCCCCTCAGAGGACTTGTGAAACACTTGGAGAAGTGATTGCTCTGTAGGCCACTTTATACTCCTAGAGGAAAACCAGGATATAAATCTAATAAATAAACTCTATATAACAGTTTTCCCAGCTTGTAACTGCCTCGGAATTATGGAAGTTCACGTTCAGCATAAGTGGTGAGTTACACGTTGGAGACTATTGTTCTTTCAAGATGAATTGGTTGATCAGATGGCCATGCAAACTCTCACCAAATGTCTATAAGGGCCATCATTCACGTTGGAGTGTGTTGAACGTTGGGAGTGTGTTGAATGATGAAGCAGATCCTTATCTCTTAGAAAGTAACATAGGACAAATAATTTTATAATCCAGCTTGTGTAAACAATAGGTGATAGAAATCCACAGCTCTCCATATACCTGCTTTATTTTTGAGCAGTGACATTTTAATTTAAATAAACAGCAACTGACAGCATGTCACTTAAATTGTTAATCCAACTAATTTTACGCCTTGTGGGGTTTGGCATTAAAATCACCTTTTACCAAAACAGCTTGCTTGATAATATAGTCTGAATTTCCAGGCATTTAAAACAAACAAACAAACAACTACTCCATTGAATAATAAGAGTAGTGAAATATGGCTTACACAGTGATCTGAATTATATAACGAGGGGCACTTGATTTTATCCCTGTGGAATCCTTCCTTCCTTCCTTCCTTCCTTCCTTCCTTCCTTCCTTCCTTCCTTCCTTCCTTCCTTCCTTCCTTCCTTCCTTCCAGTAGAAAGTATGAGAGAGAACATCCTTCAGCCTATGGTGATTATTAAATAAGCCCTCTATTGTGTAATTATTTGTAACGTGGTGTAACATGGTGGTGTATTATTTTATGTGGCATGATGAAAGGAAAGGAAAACATAGCTGAGACAAGAAGGCAGAGAATGGATAGAAAGTTGCTGAAGGAAGGGCAGGTATATAATTAAGATACTATACTAGGGCTTCCCAAAACTTTTACTTCATTATCCATTACATACATCCCAAAATACTTTTATTTAGACATCTCTGTTGTGATTGGGTTTGGATTAAGTGTATTGATACCCAAAGAAAAAACATTTTTACCCAATTTGGGTTAATCTATTCAGGTTTGAGAAGCACTGCATTAGGCTAAAAAGAAAAAGTGAATCTCATAGAAGAATGGATGAAAAAAACAGATGGAGGTGGATGGAAACTAAAAATAAAACCACACAATTTATTAGGATAGAACATATCTCAGTAAACCCCTTAATATTTAATTGTGCGTGCCAATTTCAATAAATCTCAGAACGTCCATGTTGGCTTTACAAGGCCAGAATCCGTTCTAAACCTGTCTCAATGAATTAAAACCACAACACTGATAAACTGTAACCAGCAACCTAAAATGCAGTTGAAATTATGTAAATTCAGTATTTAAAAAAAAAATCAACTTCCATGCAAAAGAAGTAAAAATATTGAACTTCCTAACCCATCTCTTCTTCACTATAATTAACCCTGCCCTCTTTTGCAGTTTTCCTGCTGCTCTTTTGGATCATGGGGAAGAAAAAAAAAAGAATTGGATCACGATTATTATAATCTAGCAACCAGGATGAGACCATTTACGTTTCAGCCTCATGAATCGTGAACCCAAGCTATACATATCTGAGATTCAATACTGAAGAATAATTCAGAATGACAAAGAGTTTGTCAGGGGGATGAATGTGTTTCTGAGGGCTTTTATTTTTTAAAAAAAGTCAATTTGATATGCAGATATACGTAACAAATTACCCTTGGAAAATACTTATTGGATTCTAGGAGGCTTTCCTTCAGTCTAAATCTGAATTCCCCCCAGGTTCTTTGAATTAAATCTCTATCGTATAACATAAAGGACAAATGCACTCACCGAATACATTTACAGATTTGCAGGTTAACTTACAGTTAAGTTAAATTGAGTTTGAATCGCCTCAAGGGAGCTGATTACATCTCAACCTCTTAGAAAACCTGCTTTGCAGTGTGTAAATATATGGGGTAAACTAACTTGTGCAGTTCATTTCCCCATGTGCTCTATTTTGGATCTTGCTATAATTGAGACTGGCAACAACGGCTGCCAGTGATATGAAGGAATACATTAAAAACAGTTGATACACAACATTGCAAGATAGACTCTTCACGCTTTTATTCCAAATTTGTAAGAGTAGACTGCTAAACTTAAATCTGTTGAAAAAGCATATTGCATTGCATTGGGTGTTGTTTCCACAACTTTGCTGACTTAGACACCACCCACCCCCATCCGTGTTTCTACTCATCAATCTAATATTAATTATTTTAATTAGTCATCAGTTTGGAAAGAAAACTCCTACAGAAGAGTTATCATACCCATCGTCTGAATACGGAGAGAAATTGGATTGAGCCAAAAATATCTTTTATTCAGGAACACTCACTTGTATTAAAATATTGTTTCTTATCCCCTGGGGCATTGTACTCTAGCCCAACTAAATTCTGTTTTAAAGGATGTCAACTAGTATGTATTGTGGCATTCCTTTAAAGGGGAAGGAAACTGCTTGATATAAAATGTTTTCATTTCACAATAAAGAGGAAGATGGGTTCTACACATGCTCATTCAGGTTTATTTATTATTTACTAAATTTATACACCACCCGTCTTGCTGCTGTAGCAAGTCTTGGCAGAAAGACAACTACAGATCCTCTAATGTCCCTTTCTGTTAGTTGCTATATCACAGTGGTTCTCAACCTGTGGGTCGGGACCCCATTTGGAGTCTATCGACCATTTCACGGGGGTCGCCAAGCAAGGCTGTCCGCCATTTTTTTGTCCGCCATTTTTTTTGTCCGCCATTTTTTCCCCTTTTCCGGCAAGTGCCTTAACTCCCTTGGGCTGGGCCAGCTGGTGGTCGGCCTGCTCCGTCTCTGCCGCTTGCCAGCTACGCCTCGGCCGGCGCAGGGGGCGGAACCACACATGCGCGGCGCTCCCGGGCAGGGAAAGTCCTCGACTTACGACCGGTTTAGTCCTCGGCTTACGACCGGTTTAGTCCTCGACTTACGACCGGTTGGGGTCGCGGCATTAAAAAGGTTGAGAACCACTGCTATATCAGATTTTGACTAGAACAATTCTTTCAACACAGCAAGAATCCTGAGGCCTCATTTTGCCTTTGAGCAGCATAAGAGGGTTTGACTTCCCCAAAGTGGGTGGTAGAGGACAAGGAATTGAGCTATACTCAGGCCCAAACTAAGTTTCTTTCAGTTTACATTAAATTAAGTGCAGTAACTATGATTATTTCTGATTTATTCTAAGCTATTCATTTTGGAAGCAATATTAAGAGATACTTTGAATGCTGCAAAAAGAGGTCAATTCTCCTGATCAGGCTAGCAGATCCTCAATTCTATAGTAAAGTATAGCTCTTCAAAAATAGGCTATGCATTATTTGACCTTGAACCAATTGCTGGCTTCTTCACTTTGCCCAACAATTGTTCCACCCATTTCATGCCCTCTTCCCAAGCTTCCCAAGCTTAACATTGCTTCTTCTCATCTATCCTATTCTAGATTATGCCACTATATGCTGGCTAGTGGTAGGGATCCCCAATTCTAATGGATAATCTAATTCAAACACAGAAGATTACCTACCACATTGCCACTAGACAATTACTCTGTTGTTATTTTTTAAAAAAATAATAATAATACTGTAATTACCATCTTAGGAGACATAGATCAGAGCAGCATATAGAACAGAAACAGATACCAGCCACTTAAACCTCTATAAATTAAAGAAAGAAAGAAAATGTAAACCTATTCTTTGAAAATCCAAAATAGAAGCCGTGTTGCACATTTATCCACAGGGGATGTTTTGTTTTGCTTTGGTTTTTATGAAAATATCCCTCTCAATGTGATACTGGTTAACTCCATTAAAATTTAAGATATGCTTTAGTATTTCCCTGTGTGAGAGAAAATATATTGCAAAGAAAAAGGCATCGTCAGTACAGAAATTAATTCAGTGCTAGAGTTTGCCTTGAAATTTCTGAAAAGAAATTGTCCTCACCTCACCCCATGAAAGAGCTTGTGTACTTACTTGTACTTTCTTTTCAGAGTACTTGAAAATGTTTTTTGTTTGTTTGTTTTTTGTTTTAATTTCTCATTCAAAGCTTAGAGCTTATTTATGTCTTGGAACTGGGGAAGACGCTACTGCAATGTTGTTTTTCTGTTAGATATCTTTTCATCACTATGATACCTGTGATACAATGTTCATATGAATGTGGGTGGATGAGCATCTCAACTGCATTTTGAAAATCAAACATGTGAAGGACATTTTGTAGGTTCATCCGGTTCTTCTTCAGTTTTTTTTTTTTTCAAATGTTATGCAAAAAAGAAGAGAAGATTCTCAAGGATAGAGTATGGGTATTCTTGCATTTATTTAAGTACAGTATCTGGGCTATCTTTTTTTTTTAATAGGGATATATCTGTACAATAAAAGCAACTGAGCTTTCATTGGCCAAGTACTGTCTGTCCACTCACTAGGCATTTTGGTTATTGTTTTTTTTTTGTAATATATTTTATTGATTTTTTAAAAAACATAAATCACAGTAATTGGTGAACAGTATGTTGTCTAGGTTACATTTGTAAAGCAATCACTAACAATTGATTTGGTTTTAGTTGATTTCCTCTTTTCCCAAAATATCCTCTTTTGCAAACATTGAGTTAATACAATTCTTATTGTTTTGATAGATAACAAATATATATATATTCTAATATTCCTGAAAATAATAGTCACATCAATATAATATTTCTTTTCTATCCAATCATTCTGGTTGCCTTATCATAGAACCTATTACAGTCCATATTTTAATTTGTTACTCCCACCAAATTCTAGGTATTCTCACTGGTTAAGATTTTCTCAAAAAATAATTACCTTTAAAAATTTAACTCTATTTTTCCATATGAACCATCTCACACTTTTACATTTCTTAAGGAATAGATAGAACAATGAAAAAAGGAGAGCAAGAGTAAAGAAACATAAAAAATAACATACTACTTAAAATATATATCCTTCCTAAGCTAATATATATTTATTTCCTAAATTTCTTATTCTTTTTAACCATAATTAAAAATATGTTTAATCTTTAAACATTCCATTTAATACATCTAGTCCTTTAACTCTTATTCAAAACATTTTTATCCATTACAATTTTCTTAAATTCAATCACATTTAAGTATCTAAAACATTTCCTTTATCTAAGTCATTTCAACCTTTTTATATTACTCATATCAAGAAAGAGAACAAAAAAGGGGGAAAAAGCATACTATATTATTTAGGGAATTCATCCCTCTTAGAATGACATATATATTCCAAAACTTTTCTATTTCTTTAACCATATTCAAACAAATGTTTCTTTTTTAAGTATTCTCTCTGGTAAGTCCCATCATCTATTTTCTTCGTTTCCAGTTTAGTCTTTTTCCTTTGCCCTTTTTCTTAATCAATGTATTTTGCTGAATCAAAAAGTTTTCCCATATGTTTTTCAAGTCTCGTACAGCCATTAAAATGTGCTATTATAAACAGAGTGATAGGCTGGGATCAGGGAAACCCAACTTCAAGCCAACATTTGGCCATAGAGAATGCTGGGTGACAGCCATCCCATTTTCTCAGCCTAAAATGTTTCACCAGAATGTTCTTAGGGATAAAATTATGTGAGTTCTCCCTTCCCACCAACTTCATCCTTACAGGGAATGGCTAGGACCATTCTCAAGCCACGGAAAAGTTTCATAGCCCAGCCTTTTACAGATCTTTGAGGCAGTTTAAAACAGCAAAAAGCAATTAATATTGAAAAACAGGGAAAAAATAGATCTATCAAAAAAATACCTCTCCTTCCATTTTTAATGTTGTGATTTCCAAGGTTAAGAAGTGAGAAATATTTTTTATACTGTAATTATTGTCAGTTATTAAGCCATCCCTCAGTACTGGGGCAAGTGAGAGGGAAGATGTAATAATGAGAACTTGATAGCATAGTGAGAACTGGGCAATGAAAAATCATTAGGAAGTTGTAAGTTCAAAATACGAACAGCTGCTGTTGTTTACTTATTTATTACATATGGTATTGCTTTGTGCAAAGACGGAAGTGAGGTGACAGGTGCTATGGGAACCCACACGCTTAATTTATTGATTTAGTTATGTGAAACAGCAGAGTGATATGTTCTTATATACTGAGAATATGAGGGTGTTTATAGAGGATAAAACGGATTAATGAAAGCAACTGTGAAGGTGAAGATGAGTGTCTTATGGCGCAAGTTCAGGTAGAAGTGCACATGGGAGCTAGATGGCAGGTTTAGAGAAAAAAAGACATCCATTCTGCTGCTTTAATTTGAGACAGATTAAGGCAGCAGTTCTTTGGTCCACGGATGTATCTCAGGGATAAAAGATAAAACAAAAAATCTCTCCCAAAGGTGAAAAAGAAGAGTTCTGCTTCATGGTTTTAGAGCTTCAATATAAACCCTCAAATGCAATCAAAAATTCATCCTCTTTGTCTCACAGAAAGATCCATCAGTATCGTTCTGAGTGGGAAATAGAAAAAAAAAGAAAGGCAGGTTGAATGTCTGTGGAGATTCTCAGTCATCCAGATCATAGTTGTCTACAAGGTGCTTTTCAAAAGCCAACTGGACTGTTTTGTTTTGTTTTTTCTTGAGGAAGAAGAAGTTTTGCTTCTCATCCAAGAAACTTTATCGGTTCTGGCAGGATGGTGGCGGCTGTGAAGTAATCAAAACGAATCCCTCCTTGTCCCCATCATCCTACCAGAACCGACAAAGCTTCTTATATATTGCTGGATGAGCAATGAAAAATCTTCTTTTTCAAGGAAAAAGCAGTCTAGTTATCTTTTGAAAAAGCCCCTTTGAGACAAGGCAGGTTGAGGAATTCCAGAGGCAGATCATGTGTTGAATTGTGAGTCTGTCCAGGCTCTAGATAAACTCATAATGACACAAATTTCAAACCAATCCTGGTATAGAGCTAAATGAATTTTTTTCCCTGTCCTTCACAACATTAGAGAACACTGAAAAGGGGAAATAAGATCTCCTTGAAGTTGGGGAAAACATATTCAGGTTCATGTTATGGACAATCTGGAGGGAAATCAATTTTCTCTCACTTATAAAATTGATATCTGAGAAAAATTCCAGGATGGTTCGGATATATTTCTATTTTATATTCCACTGAAGCTATTAAAAATAATTTTGCTCTGTTTTTTTTTAAATTTTCTGTATTTTACGTGCCCCACGAGTCAAATTAGCATTGCAGTAGCAATGTACTGTTTCCCAATTTTTTTCTTTAAAAAAGATCACTAGACTGATATCTGAGGCCCTGTAGATAAGCCAAATATTGGTCATGCAGCATCTAGGGTACTAATGCACATGTGAACTTGCTAGATGTCAGGTGCTATGCCCCATAATTAAACAGAAGCCTTTACATGGCCCCAAAATAATGAAATCAACCAGTGTTTGGTTTTCTCACCTAAATTATTAAGAGGCTTTGAACAAGAATGATAAAAGCTTGCAATTTAGTAATTTTGACATCTACAACTCCTAAGAAATCAAAATAAAACCAATATAAAATTCAATTAAAAATCCAGTTGTGTAAAGACAGCTAAAATAAGTGTTAAACAACGAAACTATGTAATATAGTTTCAATTTTTCTATTTCTGGAATAGGTCCATATCAACTAACGTTATGCTGAACTAGCAAAATCCCACTTACTGGTGTAGCCAACTCACGTTGTGCTATTTTTGTTTGTTTTATTTTCCCTTTTTGTACGTTATTGTACATTATTGCAAAGTGAGCATGAGAAATTCACCTATACTGGAAAAAACACACAACCATCTTTGCTTTTTATGTTTTTGCTGATCAATACAAAGTGTTATAAACAGTGGGATTAAAGTGTTGCCAGAGTGAAACGTAATCTCTGATGTTTCTGTAGACACACAAAATCTGCAGTTTAAATATTCACAGTGGTATAATTGGTGGCAAGAGTATCGTCCTCACTTTTCAGTGCTAATTTAGCATGGACAAAAATTTGATAAATGCTTCGTTTCTGAGCAGGAAGAGAGCACCAGGAGAATTTAACTAAATATATTCTAACATGCAACGTAACATAGCTTAAATTACACATCCTAAGTATAGTCTTAAAAACACTTTTTAAAAGTTCTATTTATATCTAAAGGAATTACTTTGAAGTCAAAGAGTAAAACTGAGAATCATTTAATTCCATAGGATAATTAAGCATCTGCATACCTTTCTCCACTGAAATCAAGACCAATTAGTGTCACTATTTCCCTGTCTCCTTCATTCTCCAAAGCTTGGGAAAATAACACCTTAAAGTAATTTCATTTTAATCCCCGAAAGAACTATTGTGACCCTCCCATATTAAACATTTAACACATTTTTCTTAGGGAAAAAAAATCCCCTGATCCCTAGGACAATGTTATACCCCTTGAATGTGAATAAGAGAAAGTTCTGACATTAGAGGAGATAAACTGTCTTGTATTCCTTTACTGCACCATGGAATAGAGCAACATTGGATCCTTGTGTTTACTAATTTACTCTACAATGAAAACCAGTATCTCTTCTCGCACAAATTTTGGTTTCTAGCCAGTATTATATTGAACATTTCCGATTTATGTAAACATGTTTGTTTTTCTGTTTTAGGTCATTCATACCATGAGAGTAATTGACAAAGATGACCCCAAAAATGGACACTATTTTGTTTATAACCTTCCATCTGAAATGGCCAACAACCCTAATTTTACAATTAAGGAAAATGAAGGTAAATATAGTTACTTATACCCCATCTTTAGTAATATTATTAATAACGTGGGGTAAAGTTAGAAGTTGTACTTTTTACTGTGTTCATTGCTTCATTTTGCTAATGTTCTTAAAGTCCTTCTCTGTTTTACCAGAGAATTTGCCTTCACTTTTTATGACATAGTCAATGTTTGTTTTCAAGGTATCTGGTATTGGTGCTGTACAAGATAGATAAGATAGATAGATAGATAGATAGATAGATAGATAGATAGATAGATAGATAGATAGATAGATAGATAGATAGATAGATAGATAGATAGATAGATAGATAGACAGACAGACAGACAGACAGACAGACAGACAGACAGACAGACAGACAGACAGACAGACAGACATTTTTATTAGGTATTTTAACATTAAATTATTTTATTGCACTCCCTGGTGCTCACACTTATTTATTGGTTTTAATATAGATAGATAGATAGATAGATAGATAGATAGATAGATAGATAGATAGATAGATAGATAGATAGATAGATAGATAGATAGATAATGTGAGAAAGAGAGACGATTAGAGACAGATATACAGAAATATATATAATTCATTGGATTACAGCAAATATAGACACATGATTATTAGCAAAATATTTCAGGAGATTTTTATATCATAGTACATTTGTTGCTCTTTTTGATGTAGCAGTGATTATTTATATACATTAGTGGTATATTTCTTCATGGACAAAGCAATATTGGCTTTACATTTAACAAGGAGTGAAATTATTTACAGTTGTATATTTTACTGCTGTGTAGGTTTTCTTTGTCCTACAGTACACTCTTTCTGAATTCTGACTTAACGATGATAAACATCAATTTCAGAATCACAGCAGTTTTCTGTAGTTCCTGTTTTGATTTATTTGCCTCTTCCAATCTTCAATAGATTCCTACATATGTTTAAAGAAATGAAACTGGAGCTAAGATAAAGTTTCTGGATAGATTCTTTTTCTTAGATTCGTTTTTGTTTACTTCTGGAAATACACTATTTGCAAAATAGTTTGAGAAAAAAAATGGAAATGGACAGATACAATTGCAGAGCAGACAAAACTGAAAAGCCTTTTTTAAACTATAATTTATTCCAAGATTTAAAAGGACATAAAAATGTCCCCTACTAATAAAGGAGAACATTTGTAGCTCAGGGTTGACATGAGGGGTCCTTGGTGCTCTCTGAACTTGCTTGTTTTCTTGCAGACGTTTCATTACCCAAACTAGGTAACATCATCATTGCTAGAAGGAACTGAGGTCTGGGAGGAGGAGGAGGAGGAGGAGGAGGAGGATGGTGGTGGGAGGAGGAGGAGGAGGAGGAGGAGGAGGAGGAGGAGGAGGACAACGACTGTGGGATCCTTGGTGCTCTCTGAACTTGCTTGTTTTCTTGCAGACGTTTCATTACCCAAACTAGGTAACATCATCAGTGCTAGTAAGGAGTGCTATTTGCTATTAGTTTATATTTTAGTGGCTTGCCTGTCCCCTAATGATACATTTATTCTCAAGTTCGTTCTCTGTTAATAACAACAGCAGACTCGGGATAGGGATGAGAACTGTAATTATGTGTTCAAATTTTTAACTGCTATTTACAATCAGTGGTTCTCCCGGAACACACTAATGACCATATCAAAGGAGGAGGTGGAGACTTTAAGTTTATATCAATAGCATAGCGTTTTGTTGGCTAGGAATCACGGTTTAATAGAACTACAAAAAAGAGTAACATAGTTTTAGCCTGCAGAACAATCCTTTTGAAGTCCTCAGAATATTGGGGATTCTTGGGAATACTTGGGAACACCTAGTGTTGTGGATAATTTTAGATACTATGCTTTAGTAACAAGTTAGTGCAGTTTCAGAAAGGATCTACTAAGGAAACAACCTACAAAGAAAAATTAAAAAAAATAGTATATTGACGCAGGAGAAAACAAGACTGATGAAAGACATAAGAGAAATTTTCACTGACGCTGAATCGATGCTACATATAAAAGAAAGATCTTGTCTTGTATGTTCCCAATAAATGGGCTTACATCTAGTAATTGTATGCTAGAGAGGGCATAGATTTCATTTAGGCTTTAGAAGAAACTTAGGGTAAGGCCAACTCAGTAACACAACCAATTATCTGGAGAGATCAAATATATTGGCCAAAAAAAGGGATAGGACAGCCGTTCTTATTCATGCTTTATACTTCCAACTTTCTTGCATCAAACACGGACGAGACTCCTCCTCCCTTTAATTATTCAAAGTGCCATTAAAAATGGCAATAATAACTCATAACTGTGTGAAAGCAACATATCTTTGCATTTTTAAAGCTTAGGCATGCTAAATAATCCTCAACTCTCTCCTCCCATCAGTTTCTTTCCTGAAACTTCCTGCCCCTTTAAATTCACTTGCCGAATGGCATAGGAACACTTTATCCTCAAATAGATATGATGCTATTTTTGTATGACTTGATGACATTGCATTAAGTAAATAACCTTTATTCTGGGGAAGCAATGCCAAGACTTGCTTGCAATTTTTAAAGTAATCATTATCTCCTATCTAATAGACTTTGAAATACATACATTCAAACTTACTCATTAAATCAGCACCCTGGTAACTGAGTTATTATGGAATCTTTTCACTTCAAGTAAATAATAAATTATTGGTAACACAGGCAACAGCAAGCTAACCATTTGTTCAAGTTTAGTGATATGAGATCTTATAAAGGGTCCAGTTAATTATAGAGCTAAAGTGTAATGATCATACAAAGGCCATCCTTACATTGCCTTGTAATATTGTTCCAATTGTGAAAGGCACAGCCATTAACATTTCTTTTCCTGCTCTTAATACCCTAAAAAGATGGATGATGATGGCGATTTTGCTGTTCTGCTCAAAGAAACCCTGAATAGTATACAAGGCGAAAGGAACAGTTTAAAAAAGCCTGCTGCAAAAAATAAAACGGTAATAAAGCAATCACCCATGAAGTAAAAACAAACCAGAACAACATTCTGAAAGTGCCAAACTTAAGTTCATTTGAAAAGGCAGTCTAAAAAGTAAAGTTAGTTGCTGTAGAACATACATCTGGGAAACAGGGCAGGATCAAACTGACAAAAGCAATATTGTACTGTTGCAACACAAATCCACTCCTTTATCCATGCTTAAGTGACCCACATAGTAAAAAAAACAAAAAAAACAGTACTAGCATCATATTACTGTGGTACTGCTTTCATAATTTGACTGCCCCCACACACATCCCTTGCTATCTTTGTGTTTCAAACAAACTAGATTTGCCGAAAGGAGTTTCATAATCAATATGCCAACACCAGAAAGGCTCAAATCTTAACTCTTCTGAGCTTAATCCAGCAAGTTAATCTTAGGGCAGTGATGGCGAACCTATGGCATGGGTGCCAGAGGCGGCACTCAGAGCCCTCTCTGTGGGCACGCGTGCCGTCGCCTCAGTCCTAGGCCTTCAGCTGGGTTTTATAAAACCTTTTTGCTTTAGGCCTCCGCTGCCATGTGCAAAAAAAAAAAGAAAAAAAGGTCAATCAGTCAATTTCAACTTCTCGCGGGAAAAAAAAGATCTTGCAAAGTTGGAATTGATTGATTGAACTTTTTAATCCCACCCAGTCTGCCGTTACCACCACAGCCATGCCCACCCAATGGGCCACGCCCACCCGGCACTCGACGATGCATAAGTGGGTTTTGGGTTGCAGTTTGGGCACTCGGTCTCTAAAAGGTTCGCCATCACTGTCTTAGGGCATAGTACATTGTTGGGGGGAGGGGGTGTCACATAACCACAACTACATTTCTGATATATTCTTTCCAACACTTTGTAGAAAACCGTTTGCTAATCTGTTTTGTTGTTTGTTATTTGTGTGATCAGTTGGGTCAAGTAATTAAGGCACCAGCCTAGAAACCAGGAGACTGTGTGATCTAGTCTTGCCTTAGACATGAAAGCTAGCTGGGTGAATTTGGGCCAGTCCCTCTTTTTTAAGTTTACATCATCAGACTTGGGCAACAAGCTGGTCGGTCAATTCCTGTTGCAATGGAATGGATCAACATGGTTGATCCCCCCAAAAAGCAGACCTTGCAATTGGGGGAAAATACGAGGAGGAGGAGGAGGAGGAGGAGGAGGAACATATCTTTATTTTTTTGAAGTAAAATAGGGGAAAACATGTTTTTCATTGGAGTAAGACCCACTTCATGATAATGTCCATCCTGTTGGAAAACTGTATTTGTTCTTGGAGTTCACCCAATTCTCCCACTGTGTTTTGCATGATTGTCTTCACTTTTTTTGTTTTGGTAACCACAAGATTATTGTGGGCCATGTTTGCATGGTTTACTCATTTCATTTTTTTGTTGTATTAAGCACAAACATTTTAATGGAGCTTATGCTTTCCAGGATTTTATGTTCATTTTTCTCAACATTCATATTTTATTGCTACAGAAACATTTGGGCATGTTTGGATTTTGGCTTGGAAACGTCTCAAACCTCACTCTGGATATACATTAGCAATAGTGGTGTAAACTGCATAAATTCGTGTTAAAATTCAATGGGAAGAAAATATTACCTTCATCATCAACCACATTGATATTCCACGACACAATTCCCTAAATTTAGTCAACAATGTATTTAAAAAAAAACCCAATTACACAGAAGAATAAATTTTAGGGATAAAAATTGTATTGGGTAATAGTGGTTGCACAACATAGGCAAATATTTACTCACAAGAAAACACATGTGATACGCATTTGCATTTGCTTTCCTTTTTTTTTTAAAATAAAGGATTTTACTAACTGATGTATAAGAAAACGAATCTTTTGCTTGGAAAAGGAGATGCTGCATAGAGAAAGAAGGAGGGGAAAAGAAAAGAAACTATTAAATGTGCCAGTTTTATATCATTCATATCTATGTGCCAATCATTTGTTCTTCCTCTGGAGTGTTGCTGTATTTAATATTCTCCAACTGTGGATTGCTGGTGAGAATGTGAATTAATTTCTCCTCAA